TGCAGGCCAGGTCCCCAGTGGGCAGCATGTGAGAGGCAACCACACACTGATGTTTCTCTCCCTTTCTCTCTCCCTTCCTCTCTGTCAAAAAATAAATAAATAATCTTTTTAAAAAATGAACAAATAAAGTCTTTTTTTAAGTAAAATGAGTTAAAATTAGAGGCTACCATTTGCACTGTTCCTACCTTCTGAATCACATCAGTCAGTAACTCAAAGCTGTTTGCGGGAACATTTACAGCCGTTGGCCCTGGGTTTCAAAATCGCCAGTTAGAGCTCCTCCCCGTCCTAACCTGCTCACAATGCTGAGATGTCCACTCCCATCCCAAAGACACTCGAACAAGACACTGCTCATCCGTGCTGTCACCTAAGCCTCGGGCGACACCCCTTGTCCTCTACCAGGGTATTTCTGGAACTTCCCCCAGGATTCAGCATTATCCCTCCCTGGCATCTGATGTCCAGTCGGAGGCAGCCTGATCCTGGGCTAAGCCCCTTCCGGCAGGTGAGCCTCTCACCTTGACCTCCCTCCATTCCGGCAGCCCACACCATGGCCTGTGTGGCTGCAGAGAGAGCCGCTGCCCCTGAGTGTGAGCTCCAGGTCTGCCTCGTGCGACCTCGGGCCAGGTCCTCCATCTCAAAAGGCCTCAGTTTCCTCACGTGGAAAGCCAGAGGGCGGGGGGATGAGTCAGGGGCTCAGAGACCTGTGGTCTGCAAACCGTTGGACAGGGGTCCTGGCAGGAATGGGGGAGAAGGAGACGAGCATCGCTTGGAGCTTGGAGCTATTTAATTAATCACAGCTGCTCCAAGAGCATTTGCTGTCTATAAAATAGCATCATTAGGTAAATGCTAACTTTTCCCCACTGGTAGGACTAGTGCTAGTAAATGTACTGTGACGAGTGTGATGCATTTAGGAGAAAGTGAGTAATAAATTATCAGAAAGAGCTGCAGTTTTTAATATCACTTAATATATCAAGTTTGCTTCTCAGCCGCCACCGGCTGCATTGCAAACTTTTACATTGACTTGCTTACGCTGGTGCTCCACCACACTTCCTGTGCCAAGGCCACGGTCAGGGCCGAGGAAGATGCAGTGATCAGCCAGAGTGGATAACTCCCATGTCCCTTCCTGACTTGCCCTTTGTCTTCAGAATCTAAAGGAAAATGGGGCTTCGTTCACTCCGGGGCCCCTTGCAGAATGCAGCCCCGGGCTTGTCACAGGGTAGGTGCCCAATAACTGTGTTCAAATGTGGATTCACAAAGAAGTGAGCGGACAGGGCCCCTCTCCATTAAACAGCAAGTGCTGGGAATTCCTCCACCGGCCTCGCCTTTGGGTTAGAAATTGCCGTTAAAATAGAGAAGGTTCTATCAGCGTAGCCTGCCAAGCTCTGCCAGTAATCAGGAAAGGGTGGAAATTGGGGGTTCACGTTAGGCCCCGGCCAGGGAGTGCCCTTCGTCCCAGAGCACGCAGACACCAGCCAGAGGTGCCAACCAAGGACATCCAGCGAAGTGCAGGGTAAAGGTCATTTCCTCTAAACTGCCTGTCGCCTACTGGAAGGAAGAGCTTTAACCGGAGGTTCTCAACCAGGAAACAGGTCATGACGCCTGAAGCAGGATGTATCAGGCCCCCCACTGGGACGCTGCCAAAGCACTCTAGAGGTTCTGACTCACCCCCCCCGCCCCCCCGCCCCCATTGAACAGTGTGGAGCCAGCAAAACAGGTGAGAATCACTGCATTAAACCATTAGCACCTTCTAGCCCAGCAATTCTCTCAAAAATAATTGTGCATAAAATAATCCAGGGTGCTTGGTACGATGCACCCGGAGCCTCCACGAACACACCTGAGTCAGTGGGTACGAGGAAGGAGCCCGAGATCTGCATCACCAACAGGTGTCCCGTTGGTCCAGACGCCAGGACCGTCCTTCCAGAACCCTCCTCTACCTCATCGGACAGGAGCGTTTGTGTGTTGCTGGGGGTGGGAGCTTAGAAGTCTGGGAGAGACACAACTTGGGGAAGAAACGAGGGCATAGGGCTCCTGAGGGCTCCGGCCAAGGACAGACTCCACCCACTCCACTTTGCCGAGGGCTGCTTCAACATGCCAGGCTGCCCACTCAACATGGGGACTGGACATGACATGATTGATGGGGTCTGGACATGTCCAGCTGCTTAAAGTCCCCCACGCACGCCAGCTGGTGCCCCAGCCTTGGCACGGACATCCACTCCTCAGTGCCTTTTCCCTGCAGCCTCACCCAATCCTCGCAGTGGACAGAGAGAGAGCAGCCAGCTGTGCTTCACTGGTGAAGACCCTGAGGCAGGCACGGGGCGTATGCTGGTGTTTTGCACCAAGAAGGCAGAGGCCAGAGAATCAGTTCAGCAGTTCACCGACTGCCTGCTGCGTGCCGGGCACTGCGCATTGCACTTTCTATCCATCTCCACCTCGTTTTCATGGGGCTGTCTACGGCCTCCTCTAAACCCGGAGGAGACCGAGGGCCTAAGTCAAGTCAGACACAGGAGGAGGGAGCCGCTGGCTTTTGGGACCAAGTCTGCCCAACCCCCCAGGCCCCAGACTTCCTAGAAACTGCACCCCTGCCCAGATAACACCAACGCTACCCCTGCAGGGGCCCTATCCCATCTCGACTGGGCTCAGGGCTAGACGAACTCAGACCTCGGAGTAGCTCTTGACTCAACCACCTGCCAGGGGTTGGGCCCGCATATGGCCTGTGTTTCTCCAGCCAGCATCCTAGGTCCCCGGGCTCTGTGCTTTGGAGTCTCAGCCCCTCCCCCACCTCTTCTAGCACCTCCCCAGAGCAGCACCTGCAGAGCCAAGAACCATGAGCAGATCCTCCAAAAGGCCAGGATGGAGCTGTCCCTGCTCCAGTGACCATGGGTATAGCTTTGACGTCAAAAGAACAAAAGGTCAGTGAACCAAAGGGTCACCGGTTCAATTCCCAGTCAGGGCATGTGCCTGGGTTTTGTGTCAGGCCCCTGACTGCAGGAGAGGCAACCAATCCATGTATCTCTCTCACATTGCTGTTCTCTCCCTCTCTTTCTCCCTCTCCTCCCCTCTCTCTAAAGATAAATAAATAAAATCTTAAAAAAAAAAGAACAACAACAACAACAACACAGGGTCAGGGGCCAGAATATCTCCGCTCTCATTCCCAGTCGCTTAACGTTCAGAAGCCTTAGTTTCTCCAGCTATGACAACACTCTTCTGATTCCTCAAGTGAATTATGAAACGATGGTTCAGTGTCTGTATTTTAATACCCTGTGTCATTATATAATCGCCTGGTGATGCAGCCACCTCTGGCACAGAGGAAGTCATTCTGTGCCTACTGAAGGGCTAATCCCCGCGAGCATTCCTGGAAATGAGAAACCCATTGTGTGAGGCTTCCTGGCTCTCCTCTCCTTCCCTCGGCTTTGACTCTTGGAAGGCTGAATTTTCTCCCATCAGGACCCCAGACGGTCCTTAGGAGCCTCCAGGCTGGTCCATTTCCACCGTAACCCACCCCCGCTTACTCTCGGCCCTCTCTCTCCTCCCTTTTTCTCTCTCCTCAGTCAGAGAAGCCTCAGGAGAAGGTTTAGGGAACAAGGTTTGGCCTGTGTTTCCAGCGGTGCTCTGATGCCTGGAGCTTCGTAGGGGTGAGGAGGGAGCGGTCGGGGAGGGGAGTGGAAGCTTCGGAAAGTCAGGACACTTTCCACCAGCTGGCAGCCACCCTGGGCATGTCACTGTGTCTGCGCCTCAGTTTCCCCACTGCAAAACGGGAACAGTAAATTCTGCCTACGTCACGGGGTAATATACGGAATCAGCGAGATGACACCCTTAAACGTCCTTGACACACTATACCGTGGTTTTCAACAATGGCTAGTGACCGTCACTACCCAGTGCAGAACTTACTGTGAAACACCGTAGTTCTTCACCACGTCTCACCCGGGAGTCTCATCTCCCACGGGAAGGGGGAAGAGGAAGCAACCGCCACCTCATATCTGCCATGCTCTGTGACAGACGGGGCCTCACCACAAGGCTGTGTGGTTTGAATTAGCCCCATTCCACAGATGAAGAAACTGAGGTTCAGAGAGATCAGATGATCTGCCAGAATGATGCACCTGGAAGTGATGAGGAGGAGGCCTCCCCTCCCTTCTCCCTGCTCCCCCTGCCGCGCCCCCCCCCCCCCGCCCACACACAGGGTTTACTGGAAGGAAGGACACAGGCTTGCAGCCCCTCATTCCCACTCCAGGAAAGGGCCCGGCCAAGAAGATAAGCGTTCCTGATCTGTCCGTAGAAACCAGAGTGTAAACAGGGTTCCGGCCGTGCCCAGAGCTTTCCGGGGACACACCTGTATAAGCAGCAGCCATTCCCAACACAGCTCTGTTTCCGGAAAGCAGGACAGCCGCCAGGGCTGAGCTGTCTGGAATTTGTTTAGTTATCTGACCGAGTGAGGCCAGAGCCAGTGGGCAGACCACACCCTGCCTCTCCAGGTCGGCCTTATCCATCACTCGCCGGGAAGGGCTCCTCTGCCAGGGCGCTGCCTGCCCTCACCCCGCGCCTGACCACAGCTTGTGATGGAGGTTCTCACTGAGCCTGCCCCCAGGGATCCCTTCAAAGACTCTCTGGCTAAGCAAAGGGCTGAGCTGAGTTTACAGAGTGTTTGTGTGTGGTCTGAGAGGGAGTGTGAACACACTGTGCCGGCAATGACCTTGGACAGCTGAGGATGCATGCATGTCCTGCTGGGGTGTGAGCAGCCTGTGCCCACACTCCTAGGAGTGTGGCTGTGCGTCCCACCAGAGGGGTGTGTGTGTGTGTGTGTGGTGCGGAATCCCTGCTCACTTCTGTGGTGTGGTTGTGTGCCCTGGCAGGCGTGCGGGGGCGGGGAAGGCAGCGCGGTCCGCCGACTGCCTCTCCACGCCCGTGCGTCCGTGTGTTATCTCGGGCGTACTCAGCCAACTCTGTGTGGGTACATATGCTTGTGTGTGTGTCCTGCAGATACGAGCCAGTGGACACTTACTGCCAAGTGTCTACACGTGTTTGTGTGTGCTCGGAGTGTCCTTGCACAGCTGCGTGTGCCCCGTGAGAGCGAACGAGACCCAGCAAGTCCTGGCACGGGCGGGAACGTGCGGAGTGTGCATCCTGCGTGTCCCTCCTCAGCTCCCAGCTTATCCTGCGAGACCGTGCGTGAGTGGAAGGCGCCCAGGTGGCCCTGCCTCCCGTGTGTGTGCGCGCGCGGGGTCCCGGGCCGGCGCGCGCCGGTGTGAGTGCGAGTGAGTGCGGCGCCGCTCGGCTCGCTCGGCTCCGCACCGCCCGCGCAGCCCGCACGCTCGCACTGCTTGGTTGCTACCAGGGTGACGCGGGCTGGGCCCGCCCCCTGCCTGCTGGCCCCTGGCACTCACTAGCGCCCGCAGCTGCCGAGCGGGTAGCAGCCGCGTCAGGGCCGTCCTGGGGCGCCGCCGGCGCTGCCCAAACGCCCCCGTCGCTTCCCACCGGCCGGCCGAGCCGCCCCCGGGCCGGGGCCGCGCCAGACCAGGCCGGGCTGCGCCCGGGCGGGACCGCGCTGCCTGCATGACCCTCCGGCGGCGCGGGGAGAAGGCGGCCATCAGCATACAAGAGCATATGGCCATCGACGTGTGCCCCGGCCCCATCCGACCCATCAAGCAGATCTCCGACTACTTCCCCCGCTTCCCGCGGGGCCTGCCCCCGGCCACCGGGCCCCGCGCCGCTGCACCTCCGGACGCCCCCGCGCGCCCGGCCGAGGCCAGCGCTGGCCGGCGCAGCCCCTCCGACGGCGCCCGCGAGGACGACGAGGATGTGGACCAACTCTTCGGAGCCTACGGCGCCAGCCCGGGCCCCAGCCCCGGCCCCAGCCCCGGCCCCAGCCCCGCGCGGCCGCCCGCCAAGCCGCCCGAGGAGGAGCCAGACGCCGACGGCTACGAGTCCGACGACTGCAGTAAGTTTCCAAGTCGCTGACTTCGCGCCCCGGCCCGCGGCTCGGCTTCTAACGCGCTCGCTAACCTCGTTGGCCCCTCGGTCCCCCTGCGGTCTCTCGTGGTCCCTCGGCTCGCGCGCCCCGCCGGGTCGCGGCCCCTTTGCCCGTTCCGCGCGCTTTGCGCGCGCGCCGTGCAGACCCGGCCCCGACACCTCCCTCGACCCCGACCCGAGAGGTGGGAAGTTTGGGGGCGACCCGTGGGGCTGTCCCATTTCCGAGGTCCGGCTCCCGGGAGCCCGCGCCGCACCCCATCTCCGCCCGCCGCCCGGAGCTCCGGCGCGGGCGGCCGCTTTTGTTCCCGGGAAGGGCGGAGCTGCGCCCTGGGGAGACACCAGTTGCTGCTGCCCGCGCGGTAGCTCTCGGCCCGGAGTCCGCTGAGGGTGGGCCCCTCGGCCGAGGCTCAGAATGGAGCGGCAGGGGCGGGTGGCTGAGGGCGGGGACCGGCCGGCCTCCCGGGTGGGCCCGGCGGCCCGCAGAGCGCAGCGGATTTGCTGGCGCCCGGACCAAGGACCAGTGGACTGTGGGGCCGCTTGTCCTTTGGGGAAACCTTGGCGATTCCTCCTCCCGCGTCTGTGGACCCCCGCCACTGCGCTCGCCCGGGCCGCGGGCCTTCGCCCACCTGTTACTCCCGCTTCCCCGGCCAGGAAGGGCCCCCAGCCCGCGCCTCCTCCTCCCGGGACTGAGCCCCCAACCCCAGTGAGCAGGCTAGCACTGGGGGTCCCCGGGGCCGAGGCCCGGCCGGCGGGCTCTCCTGGCGCCCTTCGCGCCTCTAAGGGTGCCTGCCGCGCCCGCCCCGGGACCGGAGGGGAAATGGAAGCTGAAGAGGTCGCTACCGGTGCGGAATGGGCTTGAGCGGGATGGGGGTGGGGAAGCGGGGAGCGCCGCTTGCAAGGCCCCCAGCCCAGCTGCAGCCCCAGCCACGTCCCTCTCAGACCCGGAAAACCAGCGTCAAATGCCAGCCCTGCCTGGGATGTGGACCTTTCGGAGCAGGGGTCACTGGCGGGCGTCTCCAAGGCCCACCGGGCCCCATCCCCCGCGCAGTGCAGCGAGGTTGGCTACGCCTGGCTTGGGTGCTCGCAAGGGCCTGGGGCTGGGGGTCGGCAGTTCCCCCTAGGGTAAAATGTGCCTCTGGAAGCTGATGGTGAGGGTTACCAGCACGACAGGGGTGGGAAGGAGGGAGCGGGTGGCAAGTCTCTCTTCGCCTACCTAAGGGGGCCGGGAGGAGTGAGCAGGAGGAGGCCCGTCAGCTGAGGCGGGTCAGGGCCCAGGCCTGTGGGGGGAACTTCCTGCTCTGCACTTTCCCTGCCCCCCCACCCCGCCGCGTGGGGGTGGGGAGCACCCCTGTACCTCCACTTTCCTGCCAGCTTGGGGAATTGCACTGGGAGAGTTTATTGGCCTCAGGGCTGTGCCCTGGATCCCCTCCCTCCGTTCCTGGCACCCTGGACAAAGTGCACCCCCTTTCGTGCTGTGTTTCTGGGCAGGCCCTAACTGGGACCCAAGTCACCCCTTTGGACACCCTGAACCCAAAGTCACCTCCCGAAGAAGGGATGGGGAACTTCTTCCTGCTTCTAGCGTCTCCTCTTCCACCCCGAGGGGGTGGAGGGCAGAGCAGGGCTTCTGCCTGAGCTTCAGGCAGCCCTCGGGGCGCCACCAAGGGTCCCCTGGACAACATACAACCAAAGGGTGAGAAATCTGGTCACATCTTTTGGCTATCCCTGACCCACAGACAAGGAAGGGACCAGAGATTCCAAAACTCGGGCCAACTGCCACGTGTCCAGTCCCTCAGCTCAGCAGTCCTTCACGGGGCACTGTCCCAGCAGCAGGGAGGGGGCAGAGCTGGGGCTCTGGGCCCAGAGAGCTCACTGTCCTAGCGGGGTCCCCGGGGTTGGGGTCGGGTCGGGCTCCCTGGGTGTCAGCAGTAGGGCGTGGTCCCAGACACAGCCTTCCCGGCCTGGCCTGCGGGCTGGCCACACCCCACCGCCAGGGCACCCTGCTGAAAAGGGCTAGGGCAGAGGGAGTGGGTCTGAACCGGGGCCAGCCTGGGCCCCTCGCCCCCTTCAGGGGGCAGCCTGCCCTGGGCTGGGGTCCCATCAGTGGCTGAGCGAACACCCAGGTGTGGGAGCCCAGAAATCCTGCCTCCTGCCCTCGAGGGGACTGAGTTCTGGGGCAGCAGCACTCCCAGGCCACACCCCCTCCCGGCTCTGACAACCAGATCCCAAGGATAAGTCTAAATGATTCAAGCCAGATGGTTCTTTACCCTGCTTTAGCCAGGGTTATGCTATTTGCTGCCCTAATTATTGGATTATCTCTCTTCTAACAACAACAACAACAAAAAATTAGGGCAGTTGCTCTCTTGTCCAAGGCCAAGAGTGAAGTGCTCTTTATTCATTTGGCCTTTCCTTCTCTGTAAAGCTCATCCATCCTTATTAAGTCACCTCAAATCACAAGCACAAAGCTGACATGTTCCAAACTGATCTAATAGAGGAGTAATGACGGACAGAAAACACAGTGAATGTTAGAAGTGCCCCCCCACCCCAGTTGGTCCCCAGAGCACCCAGCTGAGCTGGGCTCCAAGGCTTACTGCCCTCCAGACGGGCCCCAGGGCCCACCCTCCGGGTGTACCTCTTCCTGCCCACCCACCCTCCACCTATGGGAACCCAGTCCGTTCTTCAAAGCTGGACGTCTAGAATACTTTGGGTTGTAGTAGCAGAGAACTGAAAGTGTGTTAAACACTGAAGACCATTGAGGTCAGTGGCACCAGGCAGATTTATGCAGCAGCTCATTGGTTACGTCAATGGTGATGGTTCTGTTTGTCTTTCCACTTAGCCATGCTCATTTCTTCTTAGGCTGGTCTCCCTCGTAGTCCACGGTGGCTGCTGCAGATCCAGCCATCACAGGATAAGATCCTAGTTTTGATAAGGATCAGTTTCCTCTCCTAGGTCTCATTTTAAAAGCAAGGAAAGCTCTCTCGGAATCCCCAGGAGACCTGTCCTTCTGCCTCATTGGCCAGAATTGCATTATGTGCCCACGTTTACACCTGCCCTGCAGGATTCAGCCTGGGCCTGGGCCAGGACTTATGTCAGGGAGGCCTGGAGCAAGAAAAGAGTGCGGAATCCTGTTAGGCCTGACCCGAAGGCCCTCGCCTGGTGCCATTTCCTGGACCCCCCTGGCAGTGATTTCCCTTCCTCTGAGCCAGCATATCCTGCCGGACTCTGTTCTTATGTGCTCGGCACCACGAGACCACCTCCGTGCCAGGCACTGTGCTGGGCATGGAGATTCGAGACTGGCTGAGACACAGTCTCCGACATCAGGCAGTTTATGAAAATCAACATGTACAAACAGCCCAGCAGTGAGGACAGCCAGGCAGGACCCCGATAGAAGGCGTGGCTTGCAGGGCTCCCCCACAGAGAGCACCCTGCTCGGGGCCTGGTGGGAGAGGGAAAGGGAAATGCTGTTGGTGGAGGGCCTGCCATGTGCACAGGTGCAGAGGTGCAGGCAGCAGCCCAGCGGAGGCAGAACAGTAAGCTGAAGTGGAAAAAAATTAATGATGAGGCCAAAGCCACCATGTCTCAGAGGAACAGAGGACCTTGAATGCCACACTGAGGTGGCTGAAATGAGTCCAGGAGACAGTGGAGAACCTTTGAACAATTTAAAGCAGGGGGATAAATAGATTTATTAAAGTCCTAACCCTCTGCCTCTGAGCTCCTGGGAAGCAGGGGCGTATGACTCATCCTCTTTGTGTCCCCTGCGGTGCCCAGCTCTGTGACTCAGTTTCCCCAACCACGAAATGCTTTCAACTCAGGATTAATCATTTATTACATTTTTAAAACAATTTGAGAGGCTGATGTTTTTCTTAAAAAAAAAAAAAAAAAAAAAAAGCAGCAGATCCCCTATTTCCAGAAGTGCACGGGTGAGGAAAGTCCAGGCGCAAACCAAGGTCAGAGTGATGCTGTCAGTCTCCATCCGCAGAGCAGAGGGACAGCAGCCTCCGTTCAGCCTTGGAGGCACCAACAGGGGCTTGAGCTTGATTTCCTCGGAATTAGCCCCATTACAGCTCTATAATTACCAACAAGCGGGTGACAACTCTCAAAGGCCCATTAATGACCAGCGCTCATTATTTTTCCAAGGACGTAAACTTTAGCCAGGACACGTGATTTGAGTGACTCAAGGGCAGGGCCCCGGGGCTCACACAGACCAGGCCTTCACCTGCCCCGAGGGCCCTCCCCACCCGGGCCACAGCCCAGGGTGCGCTGCGACTCCGAGGCCCCCCTGCAGGGCACGGCCAAGCCCTTTGTGGTCCCCAAGAGCGACTGTGTTTCTCTCTTGTTTTCTCCATGGTATTCTCCTGAGATTGCAGCTAATCTAAGTGGTAGACAAAAAAATGTGGAAGCCACTAAGCTTTAAGACAGGAACTATCAGGATGGAAATGAAGAGGCCTAGATTCTGCCGTGGTCAGGTGGTTGAGTTGGTTGGAGCATCATCCCGCACACCAAAAGGTTGTGGGTTCGATTCCCAGTCAGGGCACACACTTGGGTTGAAGGTTTGATCCCCCGTTGGGGCGTGTTTGGGAGGCAGCCAAGTGATGTTTCTCTCATTGATGTTTCTCTTTCTCTCAAATCAATGAACATATCTTCAGGTGAGGATTAAAAAAAAAAGAAAGGCCTAGATTTTGTGTCCGGCTCTGCTGTACCGCCCTGAACTAGTCGCCTCCCCTCTCCAAGTCTCGTTTCTCTGAACGGGAAGTGAAGACTTTGCACTACAGCGCCCCTGAGACAGCCCCACCACTGTGAAGTCTCTCAGATGGTCAATGAGCCCTGGCTGGTCTGGCTCAACTGGCTGCTGCATCCTCCCGTAGACCTGAAGGTCTCTGGTTCCATTCCCCATCAGGGCCACATAACCAGGTTGCAGGTTCGATCCCCGATCGGGAAAAATGTGGGAGGCAACCAGTTGGTGTTTCTCTCTCACATCGGTGTCTCTCTCCCCCACCCCACCCCAAAGCAATGAAAAAAATGAAAAAAAAAGGTCCTCAGATGAGGATTAAAAAATAATAATAAAAATAAATGGTGGCTGAGCTTCTCTTTATAAACTATTATTTCTTACAAAACTTTCATTGAAGTTCAAAGCAATTCATCATCCTCACCCTGGGGCAACACGAGGCATGATACTCCTTCCCGGAAAGAGGTAACAGGTGTGAGCTCCACTGAGCAGCCCCGGCAGTTCTCACACGGGGGAGTCTGGGCACCCAGTGGAAGGGGCTCCCCTCTCCTCCCAGAGCTGTTTCCTGTGGGAAGCAGATGGCGCCTCCATCGCCCTGGCCTGTCCTCCTCTGGGACTGGGAAGCAGGCAGAGATCATGGAGTGTGCATTTTAACACGCGGTTATCATGTGAGGAGCAGCGGGAAGGAGGTTGGTTTGCATGGACCAGCCACGTGAACTGAACATCTGCTCTTTGCTGGTGTCCCAGGTGCGGCTGGGGCATGGCCCCGCTCTCCGGAGGCTATTGTCTGGGAGCAGCAAGTCACGGGTGGGCATGAACTGAACAGAAGTGATGGCCTATTGTGTGAAGCCACAGCTTTGGAGAATATTATTACAAAAGCGTAGACCTGGAGAATGTTGGGCCCGTGAATAGGTTTTAGAGGCATGGTGACAGATACCTCACCTAGAGTGCTCTGGCCTGCCCACCTGCACGGGGAGCTAGGAATATGGGCAGCGAAGGGCTCTAGACAGCCTTAAAGTAACAGTATTCTCAGAAAGAAAAAAAAATGTTCCCTTAGGCTCCACGCAAGGCCTGTTGACTCCTAATTGGACACAATTCTAACAAGTATTCTCACTTGGTTTCAGAGAATAAACAAGTACCTGTTGAATGGGCGGGAGCCGGGTCTGTGCCGGCGGATGCACAGGCTCTAGCGGGAGTTCCGAGCTGATGGCAGAGCAGGGGGCAGAGACGAGGAAAAGCAGGGGTCGCCTGGCGGGGGAACCGACGCACACCCTGTTCCCTGTCGGTGCCACAGCTGCGCCACAGAGCAGTAGTTGTCATCACAGCAATGACTCAGGGTACCCAGAAAAGTGTAGGTGACAGTTGCCTGTGCGACTCACCACCCCGGGAGGGGAGTGATCCAGTTTGGAGCAAGTTCATTCCGGAAGGTGTCTCAGAGGGGCAAGTACAGTTATGTGGAAAAGTCACCGAAATGGATCTGCTCCTTCTATAATTATCTCGCCAGCGCTTTTGGCACCGCAGGCGTTTTTGCAGCACAACGCTGTGAGGTGGGTACTCTGGTGTCTCCATCTTGTGGAGGAAACTGAGGCAGAGAGAGGTTGGGTAAGCTGCCAGAGGTCACACCGCAAGGAAGTACAGAGTCGGGATTTGAACCCAGGGTCATGTGCCCCCCAGGCAAGGACAGAGACGTGGGCAGTGTGCCTTGTCCTGTGTTAGAAGTTGGGGAGCAAGCACAGATGACGCACCAGCACCTCGGAATGAAGGGCGGCTCCAGTGCCCCAGCTTTCATTTGTCCATTTCTCTGCAGCCCCCAAATTTTGCCAGGCCTGGGCCCCTGTAGGAGCCCCGGGCCTGCAGGCAGTGTGGTCCCTGTGACACCCACTCAGCTCCACCGTTGTCACGGTGAGAAGGCATCTGTGGTTCAGAAGTGAACAGGTGGGTGTGGCTAGGCCCATGGTGGGTGTGGCCCTCTCCTACTATCACTCCGCCCCCCACCCTCTTATTGGCCTGTGGTTGGATCTCCCTTCCCCAACCCCACTGTGCAATGGCCAACTCCTATTCAGCCTTCAGGCATCACCTCCTCCAGGAAGCCTTCCCTGAGGGCCACAATTCACATCAAGGCCAGGCACCCCCCATCACTCTTAGTCCACCAGACTCTATTATGGCAAATTCTTTTCATATGTTACTCCCATTGAGCTGTGCTTTCCTTGGGGCCAAAACCAAGCCTCATTATCTTCATCCCCAGAGTCTGCATATGACAGACATTTGGTAAGGAAAGGAATGAATGAATGAATGAATGAATGAATGAATGAGTGAGTGAGTGAAGTAGATACAGATGACCAGCCCAGAGACTTCAAGCAGGATCTGGGCCTCTAAAGACTTCCTGCGAAAGTGCACTTGCTGTCCAGAGACTCGGCCCAGGTCCGCCCCCACCACAACTTTCATCTTCATGCTGGGAGCCACGTCAACACGGGAGGCCACAGCTGCCATGTGTGACTGCCCCCAAGGGTGGCAGCTGCACCCAATTATCGCTGCATTCCCTGCCAAGCCCTTGGGAATCCCCCACTGCCCTTACAAGGCTTGGTGGTGACAGCATGAGGGCCCAGCTGGCTCTGCAGAGCCCGCCAGGCCCCCGAGGGGCCGGAGACCAGGGAGCCACACCCCGAGTGTTGCTGGGAGGTGGGCAAGGGGACCCGCCAGTCAGCCTGCCGGGGCTGCAGGCTGGCAAAGCCTCGTCTCTTCTGCTTCTCACACACCCTTCTGGCATCTAACGCGTGAGGGGAACTGAGACCGAGGCCCAGAGTGTCAGGCGCTCAAGGAGGGCGGGAGAGGACAGCACTCCTAAGGCCGAGCGTCAAGTACACGTGGGTCGTGGGTCGGCAGCACAGTGCAGGGTTTTGGGGCCTGGGTCTCCCTCTTGCACCTCCACTCATGGGGACTGGGGGCCACGGACCCAGCCTCTCTGAGCCTCAGCCCCTCATCCAGAAAGGGGGAACAATACTGCTCACTTCCCAGGCTTGGGAAGCTGGGTGCAGGGATTGAGGGGCCTCGCTGGTGGCGGTCACTGCAGCACCGGCACCCCATCCGACCTCGCAGAGGTGGGTGACGCTTCTCCACCATGCAGCCCATGCATGACCTGAGCCCCCTTTGTCCGCAGCCGCCCTGGGCACGCTGGACTTCAGCCTCCTCTATGACCAGGAGAACAACGCCCTGCACTGCACCATCAGCAAGGCCAAGGTAGGCCCCGGGGCTCCCCTGCCCCAGGCACAGGGTCCTGGAGGAGGGGCTCAGGGCGGCAAGCCGATCCCCCCCCCTGCCCCGCCCACTTCCTGGTGTCTGGCTGGGAGCAGGGCCTGGAGGGAACTTTTGCCTAAATCATCTCAGCTGCCCTAAAAAGCCCTCAGACTGAAGTGGGGGGGAGGAGCAGAATCCTAGAAGGAGGAGGGGACGAGAGATGGAGGCCTGGGCGGGGATGCCAGGGCGCAGAGGCCCCGAGCTGGCGCGGGGCTGCTGAGGGGGGAGGGGTGCCACTGTCCCACTCTGGACGCCGAGGCCACTCCGGGCAGGAGTCATCTCTGCTGGCTGGCGCGCGCCAGCGCCGTGTTCTCAGTCATGCCGTTCCCTTCGTGCCCGCATACATCGCTCCCCCGGGAGGAAGGTGCCCAAGCTGATGTTCTCTCCAAAGGTAAGGCCGGCGGTGCCGCCTAGTAGGGCCTCCCAGTAGAGTCGTAGAAGGGCCAGGGCCTGGCTTAGAGCCGCGAGCTGCCTGGGCCCAGAACCCCCACCAACCCCACACCCCCGCCACAGTCCCCCCGCCTGAGAGCTTCTCTGCCCTCCCTCCCACCCACCAAGGGACAGGCTGCCTGCCCCTGCCCCAGCTGGGCCCCTCCCAGCTTGGGCCCCATCCCTGCACTGCCGGGGCACCTAGAGGCCTGCATGCTCCATTCGACCCCCACCCTGTCCTCTGGGAGCTGTTCGGGCAGCCATGCGGAGCATGACCAGCCTGGCACAGCCGAGACTCCAGACCTGCCCGGGGTACGGGCTGAGAACCCGGTGACCCCCAGCTATGCCAAGGTGGAGGGCAGATGGCAAAGTGCAAACAGACCCAGCTTTGTACAGGTCGTGCAGGTATGGGGACAGAATGGGCACTGGCTGCCCGGTCACTCTGACCAGAGCCATCCCTTCTCCTCCCCACCCCAGACACGGGGCCCTCCGGCACTGTGCGCCCCGCCTTCCTGACCCGGGCCCCAGAGGGCCTGTGCAGGTGTAGTGGGTGTGGACATGTGTGTGTACAGGTAGGTCTCTGGGCACCTGTGTGTGCACTCGTGTGTGTGTTCATTTAGGGGTGTGTCACTTGAGGCATTTGAGGTGGGGGATGGGAGGACCCCAAGCCATGGCAGCTCCCCATTCTCCAGGTCACCCCCTGCTTAGATCCCGTTCCTCGCAGGAGGGGGTGGCGCAGGCATGCGAAGAGGAGCCGGGGGGCTCAGAAAGCCGAGGTGGGGCTGACAGGCAGTGCCCTCAGGGGACTCTGGGAGGAGGCCAGATGCCCAAGCGCCAGACCCCAGTTTGGCCACCCTCCCCTGGGTAAGCGGAGCAGCCTGTTTGCACACCTGTGACTCAGGGTTAGCCATCCCCACCAATGCAGTGGCCGTGAGCATCAGGTGATCGAGTACTGATGCTGCTCTGGGGCACAGTGCTAGGTGGCAGGTGTCCACCCACGTGCACATGGACACGAGGGCCCTCACGTCCACGGAGGAGCTACGAAAACCGGCAGACCCCCAGTCTGGGCACTTCGTGGGAGCAGGCAAGAGGCCAGGAGAGGGACTGGCGTTCGGAAGGGCTGCCTCACTGCCGTGGTGGACTCCCGGCCTGTGAGCCAAGCCTCGTCCGGAGCGGCCCCACAGAGCAGCACAGAGCTCAGATGCCCCGCCCCCGCCCTCAGCCACTTCTCTGGCGTCTTCCCAGGGGGCTGGCGTGTAGGGAAAGGGGAGCGAACCCCCGCTGCCCAGGCCCTGGGTAGCATTACCTCAACCCGCACTCCAGCCCTAGAAGTGTGCACTGTTAACCCCTTTCACAGATGGTGAAGCTGAGGCTCAGGAGACCAAGGAACTCCTTCCCTTGCCCAGCTCGCAAGTGCAGGAGCTGCCTGGCCGGGCCAGCCTGGCTCTGAGACTCCTGTGCCCCTCACAGAAGCAGAGCAGTGGGTGGTTGGAGGTGCCCACCTGGGGGGTCCTTTAAACCGAGGCGGGGCAGGGGCAGGAGAGCCTTAGCTCCCCTGGGAGGTGGGCCTGGTCACGGACAGCCGACTAGTTCACCTCTGAGTGACGCCATGGGGGCGTCAGCTCGGCTTACACACGCCACAGCTGCCTCCCTAGTCCCTGTGCGCATTGCAGAAGAAAAAAAGTACAATTTTCAGAAACAAGAGCAGGCATGGGGTCAGCTAAGCCCTGTATGTTTATGGGTCCGCTGGTCGCCTGGCTGGGCACGCCAGTTGTTCCACGAGTGAGGGATGCCACCTTGTGGAGGGACCCTCCGAGGCCGGCCAGCCAGCTGTGTGGCCTCCACAGACTCAGCCAGGCCGGGAGCTTCGGCGAACCCAGAGAGAAATGGAGCCTGGTCTGCAGGACACAGACCATTTTCTCCAGCTCCAGAGGGCCGTGTGCAGATGGGTGGACAGGCGGTCCTGTGGGTTGGGGTCAGTGAGGGGAGTTTTGTTTGGAGAGTGGGGGAGGGGTACAGGAGAAGGAGGGGCCTGACCAAAGCGGGGTAATGGAGGCCTCTTTCGGAGAAAGGTGAGTCACCTGGGCTCCACGAGGAGGAGAAGGGGAAGAGAGAGGCTGCTCCGACAAACACCCGTGCCTGCCCTGGGCTGGGACAGTTCCGGGAGGGAGGTCATGCCCACGCTGAGCCCCCTCGCTGCCCCTTCTCAGAGTGTGGCATCAGGGGCTTCTCTGAAGAGGGTCATGAACGACCGAGCCAGGTGGCCTAGGGAACAAGGGGTTCCTGCTGACCCAGGCGCCTGGAGGCCCTGGCAGCTCCGGGTCCCCGATCCCCAGTTCACAGCCTTCGCTGTCCTCTGTTCAGGGCCTGAAGCCGATGGACCACAACGGGCTGGCGGACCCCTATGTCAAGCTGCACCTGCTGCCCGGAGCCAGTAAGGTGAGGGGGTCTGCCCGCTGGGATGGGGGCCCAGGCTGGGCTTGGGGCACCCAGGGAGGCCTGTAGTTCTCACACCCGCCTCAGAGCCCAAGCAAGCTGATGGGACTGCAGCCATCCACCCGAGCACCCACTCAGCCCCACACTGTCCAGACCTCCTGGGGACCTAGGGTCAGCACTGCCTGCCAGCCGAGCTGGCAAAACTCTCCAGAGAATTTCCAGGCCAGCATTTCACAAGGAAAGTCTTAGCTGGAGGTTAATATTACCTTTTTAAGAAGGGTCCTGCCTTGGCTGGGTTGCTCAGTGGTTTGGAGCTTCGTCTTGTACACCAAGAGGTTGCAGGTTCAATTCCGGGTCAGGGCACATACAGGAGGCAACTAATCAATGTTTCTCACATCCATGTTTCTGCCTCTCTCTTTCTCCCTCCCATCTTTCTTCTCTCTCTAAAGTCAATAAAAACATATCCTGCCCTGGCTGGTGTGGCTCAGTGGATTGAGCGCTGGCCTTCAAACGAAAGGGTCGCCAGTTCGATTCCCATCTACAGCACATGCCTGGGTTGTGGGCCAGGTCCCCAGTAGGGGGCGTGCAAGAGGCAGCCACACATTGATGTTTCTCTCCCTCTCTTTCTCCCTCCCTTTCCCTCTCTAAAAATAAATAAATGAACTCTTAAAAAAAACATATCCCGGGGTAAAAATCAAAAATAAATAAATAAAAGGGTTCTGTGGTTGGAAAACATCGTTAACCAGGTTTCTTTACTGCAGGCCTTGTCAGAGCCTTTAACGTGCTGATGGACTGATAGTCCACCAGGGGGTTCAGTGGACAGCGCCTGCCCAGTTTGTCCGCAGAACCCGTGTTCCCATGCCAGACCACCCAGCAGGCAGATCAAGCACATGGTGCATCTGGGAGAAGAGAGAAAAAGTTTTAGTAAAATTGGCTATGAAACAAAAGCACCAAGGTGACCCTCAGCCCCAGAAGATCAACTCTTCATGGACTTTCTCTCGTGTGCCTTACAGCTCAGTGTTGTTTCCTTTCACGTTTCACGGAGGGAAGGTCACATCCGCTTTTCAGATTTGGGTCTTGCCCCTGCCCTGGGACCCACAGACATCTCAAGGGGGGAGCTGTGCCGACTCCACGTCAAGGGGGGACCCGACTACCGACCAGCAGTTTTGTTTCTGGCGGAGACCAGTGGGAGCGCAGGGGTACCTGGGACACAGGGTGGGGGAGCGTGAGCAGCTCAGCCCTATGCCTAAGGTCCTGGTCCTGGCCCCTTTCTCTGAAGCCAAGAGTGAGGGAATTCCTTCCAGGCCCTCGAGCGGCCTGAAAGGGAGGAAGACCCCTTCATGGGAGCGCCCTCTGGCCAGAGAGCCTCCCTGGCCACGGGGGGCTCTCCTAGGCCCACCAGGCATCCTGCCCACAGCTGAGTAGCCACAGGCTGCGGGGCCTGAGCCAACGCTGAGGCTCAAACCCTCAGACCAGTGTGCAGGACCGAGGCTCACCCCCACCCAGGAGAACCACCCAAAGTCTGGGTGGGCAGGGCCACAGAAGTGACAGTGGCCCTGCAGTACTCAGCTCCCCTCTGCTGGGCTCCACGTCATCCTGCCGCCCTTGGAACTTGCTGGGCTGAAGGCCTTGGGACCAGGGGACGTGCCCCACTCAGGAGCTCAGGGACCAAAGTCCCTAGACTCCTGGGACCTAGAATGGCAGTGCCTGGAGGATGAGTTGTGGGGACCCCCACAAGATTTTCCAAGTGGGTGTTTCACAAAGTCTGCTGCAGAGGGAGTTCCCCAAAAGCGGTGCTGGAAGAGAGCTGCCCTTAGGCTGTTCTTATGGCAGGGAGGCGGCGAGCCAGCACGGAAGGCGATGAGGCACCGAGCTCCACAGAGCACATGCGAGGGCTACAGCTGGGCTTTGAACCCTGGCCCATCTGACCCCAGCCTGAGCCTGGCGTGGCAGAACCCAGATCTGCAGAAGCACAGAGGAAGATGTGGAGGTGCCACGGCAGCTTAGGCAGGCCACCCCACCGGCATCTCTAGGGAAGGTGACATTCCAGGCCGAGGGCACAACCTGGGCAAAGGCAAGGAGGTGTGAGGGAGGGAGTCCAGTCCAACAGGCTTCCCAGCAGCTCCCCACCCAGCCCCAGTCTCCTGCAGAACCCAACACACACGCCACCTACACACACGTGCCACATACATACCACCTCCACACACACACACATACACACACTGACCACGCACACACGGAGTGTCTGAGGCCCCTAAGGCTGCAGGAACATCTTGTACCAACAACCACACGAATTTCTTACCTTCCAGTTCTGTAGCTTAGAAGTCTGACGTAGGTCCCACCTGGCTAAACCCAAGTGTCAGGGACTACGGTCCCTTCTGGAGGCTCCACGGGAGGAGCTGTGTCCATCCCTCTCCACTGGACAGAGGCCGCCCACCTCCCGTCTACAAAGCCAGCAACGGGGCGCCTCTCGCCTCTTCCCTCCTCCCAGCTGCCACCCACTCTCCTCTCCTCTTCCGCCTTCAAGGACCTGGTGATTGCACGGGGCCCACCCGGGTCACCTAGATAATGCCCCTGTTTTAAAGGCAGCTGGTCAACGACCTTAATTCCCCTTTCCTTATAGGTTGGGGCGTGAAGGCGTGGTCTTCTTGGGGGGCCATTATTCCACCCACGCCCGCCCGCACTCCTCCATGCTCATGGGATCGTTTTTGCTTTCTCCAGGCGAATAAGCTCAGAACAAAAACCCTTCGAAACACTCTGAACCCCACGTGGAACGAGACCCTCACTTACTACGGAATCACGGACGAAGACATGATTCGGAAGACCCTGCGGTGGGTGAGGGCCCTGGGCCGTGGGCTCCCCGCACCCACGCCTACCCGAGCCTTGCCCGCTCCTCGCCCGCCGCGCGCCAGTCCCCGCCGACTGTGGAAGCGGAGAGGGCCCGGTGTGTCTGAGGGCCAGCTGTGCCTTTGCCCTCCAGGATCTCCGTGTGCGATGAGGACAAATTCCGCCACAACGAGTTCATCGGGGAGACGCGAGTGCCCCTGAAAAAGCTGAAGCCCAACCACACCAAGACGTTCAGCATCTGCCTGGAGAAGCAGCTGCCGGTGAGCGGGCCCTCCCTGCCGGGAGCTCGGGGCAGCTGCATTTATTGAGCACCTGCTGTGTGCCTGGCGTGGCTGCAGGTGCTGGGGAGATAGAAATCCCTGCCCCACGGAACTTGGGCAGGAGACAGACACAAAAGGGGTCACCGTCACTCATTCGGACCCTGTGTCACAGTGATCGAGGCCAAGAAGGACTGCACGGGAGGGGCTGAGGGCTTAGACGTGTGCTGGGAAGGACTCCCCAGCTGGAGTGTTCCAGGCGGAGGGAACAGCAGGTGCAAAGCCCTGCATGACGAGTGCCCAGCCCGCTGGAGGCACAGGCAAGAAGCCCGCTGAGTGCGGCGGAGAAAAAGCGGGGAGGGTGTCCTAGGAGTTGAGAGCAGAGGCTGGGGGTGGGGAAGCTGGGAAGGACTCAGGCCTTCACCCCGAGTGAGATGGGCCAGGCAAGGGCTAGGACCGCTGGCTACATCTGACCAGGGCCCCTGGGCTCAGAACGGCAGCGAGGAGGGTGGGAGCGGGGAGAGCAGTGAGGAGGAGGGGGAGGAGGAGGAGGGGGAGGAGGAGGAGGGGGAGGAGGAGGAGGAGTCTGGCTCGGTGGGGCGGGCGCAGCAGTGCCTGGGTGCGGGTGCCGCTGGCAGATCCGTGTCCCTGCGCTGGGGGCCGAGCACCTGGAGGACCAAGAGTCATTAACTGGGATGCAGAGGACCTTGGGAGGAGCAGCTGGGAACGTGACACGGGAACTCAACTAGAACATGTTAGGCATGAGGTGCCTGTGAGATACCCAGAGAAGACAGAAAATAATTCTTTCCTAGAAATTGCAATTGTTTGGAAATGTCAAAGCCAATTCTGCCCCCTGGCCGGCTGCAACGGCTGAGCCCCCCCAGAGCCTTGGTCCCCTCGTCTCAGCCCTGCCTCTGCTCTGGCGGAGGCCTCACCTGCGCCCAGTTCAAGGGCTGTGGGGGTTTGGCCAGGAGGCCCCACGGTCCTAAGAAACCATGACCTTCTGACAGCCCAGTGCCCAGGGTACAGCCCCCTTCCTGGAACAGTGCCCCCAAAGGCCTGGGCAAGGGGAAAGCGATGGAGGACAGAGCCCAGTGGCTGTGCCCCATGTGCGGGGCCTGAGCCCTGGGGCAAACGGTCAGGCTCTGGGAACGAGTCGCCTAGAGGCCAGAGATCCCTGCCAGGGTCCCAGCTCTGTCGTCTGGCATAACCTGATCCAATGTCATTCCCTTGCCATGCTCTCTCCCACTCACAGACATTTGTGTGATGGGTATGACCTCTTTTGTTTTATTATTAGTCACTAACCACAGGTAACCCAGTTTTCCCAAACGATCTATGTCACTTATAAGAGGCAACATCCACTCCTACTGCACTTGTGTGCCTGGGATTTGATCCCCAGCATAAAGAAGCACCTGCGTGTGGGGGTGCGCGTCTGAGCTGTGTGTGAGAGCACTGTGCATGTGTGTGAGCATGTGTCTGCACATGCACGAGTGTGCACATGTGGGCGCATCAGAGTGTGTGGACTGCGTGTGTGAGGGTGTGTTTGTGCGCGTGCCTGTACTGGGGCGTGACTGGGGTTCTGCTAGGGGCCCGTTAGTCTGGTTTCAGGGACACCAGGTCACTGCGGGAACGGGTTGCTGTGGCAGTAAAAACACATTTTGCTGCTACATTTTAGATTTGGCATCATCTGAGAACTGATCTGTTCTCGGTAAGTACTGAGCAATAAACCAGTGTCATGGTCTTCACATGAAATGACCCAAAGCACTTATACCACCCCCCCCAAAAAATAGCTGAAAATGTCCATGCTTATTTACTTTGTTTAATTTTCACACATCACACAAACTAGCACAAGAGCCATGGTTTAGTGAGGCCCTGGGCCCGAGGGGCAGACGGTTACCTCGCCCCGCCTGGTCCGGTCCGCACCCCTAGGCTGCCTGCGCCCTGTGGACAAAGGTGCTGAGGCTGCGTTTGAGCTCAGGGTGCGTGCTGTGATCACTCACCCACGGCTGCTCTGGGCGTGGGCGCTGGGGAAGGCGATCCCTCCCTCTCTTCACAGGATCCCCGTCTCCAAGGGGGTGCAGGCGTGGGCCCTGCCGACGAGGGCCCGTGTGGGGCTTCCCTTTACCCAGAGGCAGAGTGCAGTTGTGGGCCAAGGGACATGGCCGAGACTCTGTGGGAGAGGAGCCTGGCAGAGGGACCCTTGGGAGCCCTGCGGCTCCAATGGGTGCGTCTGGGTGGACAGAGGGTGCAGGAGAGGGGTCCATGTGAGCAGCAGCCAGAATGTGGGAACGGCTGATCTCAAGAGAGTGGGGCCTGGAGAAGCGTCGGGCTGGCAGCGGTGGGGAAGCCAGACAGTGCGGCCCAGAGCTGAGGTCTGATCCCAGAGGTGGGCACAAGCCTGGGCGGCCCCCCACCGGCCTCCCGGCTCTCTCTGGGCTTGGGAATGTGTCAGAGCTTTGTCCTCCGTTTTCTCCCCAAGGGGGCCACCCCTGAACCCTGAGAAGCTCCAGGAAGCACCTGCCCCATTTGTGCTGGGCCTGTGGATGGCCTTGGTGGCCTGTGGCTGAGGGAAGGGATAGGAACAGGGAGGACAGCCCTGTGACTACCCGCCCCACAGGTGGACAAGACGGAAGACAAGTCCCTGGAGGAGCGGGGCCGCATCCTCATCTCCCTCAAGTACAGCTCGCAGAAGCAGGGCCTGCTGGTCGGCATTGTGCGCTGCGCACACCTGGCCGCCATGGACGCCAATGGCTACTCGGATCCCTACGTGAAAACGTGAGTGTGCGGCCCGGCCGGCCACCTCCTTCTCCAGTCACCTCGGGGGACAGGAGGCCCATGTGACAAGGGCAGCAGTTGCGGGGCCAGCACAGAGGGCGTGCCCAAAGCAAGGTGGGCACTGTGGGCACGGTGCCCTAGGCCAGATTCTCTTCTGTGCTCCTCTGGCAACTCCACGGGCTAAGTCTGCCCGGCCCCATTTCACAGATGAGTAAACTGAGGCCTATGGAAGCTGAGTGGTTTCCCAGGGTCACACAGACAGAGCAATTATCTCCTGATGCCCCACTCAGGCTACCCCGTGACCGCAGGGCTCAGGAGGGGCCGCAGCAGGTTGCAGGAGGGGCGGGGGGCAGCCTGTGCCGAGAGGCCGGGAGACCCGGTGAAGGAACTCCGCAGGAACTTGGTGCTGCCCACGCCTGCCCAGCCCTGCGCTGGTACCCCAGGTGCACACGAGGACCCACCCAGCCCTACCAGCCGGGGCTCGTGGTGGCGCTGGGGAGACACTAACTCGAGCCGTGCAAGGCGACCTGGGCCCCGGAGTCGTGAACCCGCGCCCAGACAGGCTGCGGTGCTAGCTCTGAGGCGCAGGCAGGAGTTGGTGGCCCTTCAGGAAGGGATGGGTGAAGCCGGCGTCACAGTGACCGCCATCGGTGCTTTGGGCTGCCCACAAGCCAAGGTGGGTATCAGTCTGCGTTCACAGCGAGGCTGTCCCAGAGGCTGGGCGTGGGGAGGAACCGGCTCGCAGAGAGGAGGCGCTCCCCTTGGCTCAGAGGAGCAGAGGGGCTGGGCCTGGCCTGAGGGGGCCCGGGGCACGGAGGCCACGGGGAGGCCTGTGCCGCCACATGGCACAACCCTGCAGCCCCCTTCCCACTGGTCACTATCACACTCCTGTCACTTTTTAAGTGAGATGACAGGAATGAGCACTTTGGAAAACAGCCTGGCAGCGGCTCAAAGGTTAGGCCTGCAGCTACCACACGGCCCAGCCATTCCACGGCTCGGCACGTACCCCAGAGAACTGAAAGCAGTGTCCCCGCAAAACCGTGTGCGTGGACGTTCGTAGCAGCATTATCTGCACAGACAGAAGTGGGAACAGCCTAAGTGTCCCTGGCCGCTGCACTGACGGAATGTGGCCGCTCGCGCAGTGGAGCCTCGGCTGGCCAGAAGGAGGACCGAAATGCCGATTCACGCTTCAGCGTGGGTGAACCTTGTAAATGAGACGCTGAGCGAAAGAAGCCGGTCACAAAGGCCACGCACGGCACAGTTCCACGTCCAGATCAGGCAAATCCTCAGTGATGGGAAGCAGACGAGCAGTTGCCAGGGGCCAGGAAGGTCAGGGGGCATGGGGGTGACCGCTGATGGGGGCTGGGTCACCTCCCGGGGCCCGGAGACATTGCAGGACTGTGGCGGTGGCAGCGGTGCCACTCTGGGGACGGACTGGAAACCCTTGAATCGTGTGCACGTGAGCAAGGTGCAGCGCATGGCACGTGAACTGTATCTCAGGAAAGCTGTTGTTTTTAAATCCAACGCCAGCAGGCTCCAAGGGCAGCACCCAGGTACGACGGGGCGCTGACCAGGACCCCTGGGGAAGGTCAGGGGCTACTCATTTTCCACATAAAAACAACGAGGAATTGGGCCCTAACGTCAACCGTCAGCAAAACCACGATGTCCAGGGGATCAGAGACCCCCACCCACCCCCCGAGCGGGCAGTGCTGTGACGAGTCAGAAGAGGAACAGGACACTGCACGACCCCTGGCGGGAAAGTCAGGAACTCCAGTCGAGTAGGAGGCGGGGGCGCCCCGTGGCTGCGTCGTTTCCTTCTTGGTGTCCTGGAAACCCACGCCTGGTGGAGGCTGTCGCTGCAGCCCTGCTGCTCACAGCGATGCCCTGCCAAGAGCCAAGCATCCGTGGGCCGTCGGCCGGGGCACCGTGGCACAGTGTGTGGCGTAAGCACAGAGCGGGCGCCGTGCAGCTGGAAATGAGCACTTAGGACTGGGAGGGTTAGCGTGGACAGCTATCCAAAGCATGCCAAGCCCAAAAGCAAACTGCAGAATGGTGTGCACAGTGTGATGCCATTTCTGGCCATTTTTTACTTTTTTTTCCCCTCAGCTGAGACATGCTCATTGATTTTAGTGAGGGAGGAAGGTAGAGACAGGGAGAGGAACGAACATCAATCGGTTGCCTCTTGCACACACCCTGGCTAGAGATCGAACCCAAAACCCAGGCATGTGCCCTGACTGGGAATCGAACCAGCAACCTTTCGGTTCACAGGACAACACTCCCACTGAGGCACATCGGCCAGGGCCCCGGCCCCGGGGGGTGGTCTGAGGAGGACAGAAGGGGAAGGGACTGGAAAGGGGAGCAAGGTGCCACCGCCTGTGCCAGTAATGCTGGAGCTCGCTTATGGCAGCAGATACAGTCTGACGCACAACGCTGTGATGTTTTAAAGTCAGACTCAGTGGCCATTGCCAGGTTGACAGGACCCCCAGGGTCCTGTACTGGGTTATCCAGAAAGCAAGGTCTCACCTGATACAACAGAGTTGGAGCGGGGCGCCCCCGTGGCTGGGCCTGTGCCCCAAGAGAGGGCACCTGTGAACTGAAATTCAGCCAGGGAAGCGCCAGGTGGAGGTGCAGAGCTAGATGGTCCCAAGCCTTTTGTCAGCACCCTTATTTTTCTACACCTCACCTCAAATGACACATGCCTCAGTTTCCCCAGGCTGAAAATTGACCCCCAATCCAGCTTTTCGGAGTGTGAGGGACAGACAGCGCTGGCACCACTGTCGTGTGCGGAGTCACTGCGGTGTGTGGGCTGGCTCAGGCCTCGCCGCACCCTCCCAGGGCCCCTGCGCTGTCGCCGCTCTACTATCTCCTCACTGCACCTGGGCGACTGAGGGAGCTCAGGCAACTCGTGAGTCCTGCTGGCCAGTGCAGGAGGGGGTCCTGAGAGCCAGGAAGGGACAGAGACCAGTGGCCAGGCCTCCGGGGCTTGGCCAGGCCCGCTCCTGGCCCGTGCAGGTTGTACTCGGGGACTCACTGGAGTGTGGAGGTGAGGCGGTGGGGAGCTTCAGGCAGAGGGGACAGCATGGGCTGGAGGCAGGACAGAGGACCACCCCTAGGGGAGCTGCTGGTGCTAGAGGCCCTGAGACTGGTGGCCTCCTGGGGAACCTGGGGAGGGGTCACTAGGTAGACACCGGCCATGCAGCATTGAGGACGTGGGGATCCTGGAACAGCTTTCCTTCAGGGGGCTCCCAAAGGGAGGGTGGGCGATGCTCCCACTGGGCAGGGCTCCCCTGCTTTCTCCTCACCCCCAAAGCAAAGAGGCAGAGGACAGGTCAGAAAACGAAGTACCAATAAACAGCCGAAAGGTCGAACAAGCGCACGGAAGCTTGTAAGGAGCTGAAGACATTCCCCGTGTCTGGGTGGGGCGTGTAAGGGAAACCCCAGCTCCAAAAACTGGCTGGACGGAAGTGTACACTCGCTCCGTGCACAGCGAGCGTGGCCCACCCCCACGGCCGAGACGGAGAACGCGCTCTCCGAGTTTCCCCAGCCCCAGGCAACCGCTGGCGTGTTTCCAGCATTTCTCATCGAGGTTGTCGTACAAGGTGCCAGCTTTCGAATGTGGCTTCTTTCCTGTTGCCCATTGCATTGGAGGTTCAGCCAGGTGGGCGCGTGGACCGGTAGCTTGGTCTTCCTTGTCTAACAGCCGTCCGTGGGACAGGCCACCGCAGTGACCCCGGGTCACCCGCCCAAGTGCCTGTGGTGTGTGTCCAGTTTGGGGGTGACTGCGTGACACTGCCAGAAGACGGGGGTGGGTGTGGACACACACCTTCATTTCTTCCCCCCACCCCCAGCTTTTATCAATATGTATTTTGTAGAGCTTCGATAATGAACCAGTACTATTTATATAATAAAAATCACAACCCCAAAACTAATACGTGCCAAGTAAAGCAACGGTGAGATGGCACTTTCTGCCTTTCAAACTTGCAAGGAATTTGTACTATTAAGTTTACTGGAGTAACACTGGTTAGTAACATTAGATACATTTCAGGTGTGCGACTTTTGAACGTGGTGGGTTCACTCTGTTGTGTGCTCCCCACCTGAAGTCTCGTCCCCTCCCCTTCTGTCACCTTGTGATTTAACCCCCTTCCCCTCTGGCAGCCACCATTCTGTTGTATCTATGAGTTTGTTTTATTTGTTCATTTGTTGCTCTTCGTTTTGTATCCCACATGTGAGTGACATCGCACCGTTCTTGTCTTTAGCCTTATGACTCACGTCACTCAGCACAACACTCCCAACAGCCTTCCGTGTTGTCACAAACGGCGACATTTCATCTCTTCTCTTTTATGGCTGAGTAGTATTCCATTATGTATATACACACGTATATACCTTTATATTTATATCAAATATGCTTTATCCAATCATCCACCAAAGGACCTTTAGGTTGTTTCCACATCTTGGCTTTTGTATATAATGCTGCAGTGCACACAGGGTATGCATCTTCACGGATACACGTTTTCAGTTTTGGGGGTGGATGCCCAGAAGAGGGATGGTCGAGTCATGTAGTAGCTCTGTTCTTAACTGTCGGAGGAGCCCCCACACTGCTGCCGCAGAGGCTGCACCATTTACACCCCGGCAGCGGCGTGCGACGGTTCCCTCCGCCCTGCACCCTCCCAAAATGCGTGTCGTCTTATTGATGACAGCCACTCGGACGGGGTGAGGTGGCGTCTCCCGTGGTTTTGATGTTCATTTCCTGATTGGTGCTGTTGAGCATGAAAATACATGTGTGTCTTCCTTGGAAAAATGTCTATTCAGTTCCCCTGCCCATTTTTTAATCCAAGTGTTTGGGTTTTTGTTGAGTTGTATGAGTTCTTTATATATTTTGGATATTAGCCCCTTCTTGGAGGGATCATTTGCAAATATCTTCTTCCATTCAGCTGGTCGCTGTTTTGTTAATGAGTTCTTTGCCGTGCAGATGCTTTTTGGTTTGATATGGTTCTGTTTGTTCATTTTTGCTTTTACTTCACTTCCCTTCAGGGTCCAGTTCACAAAAACCCCTCTGAGACCAAGGTCCATAGGTTTAGTGCCTGTGTTTTCTTCCATGTATTTTGTTGCAGGTCTTCTATTCAAGTCTTTAATCCATTTCAAATTAATTTTCATGTATGGTATCAGATACGTCTAGTTTCATTCCTTTGCATGTGAGTTTCCAGTTTTTTCAACACCATTTATTGAAGAGACTTTCCTTTGTATGTTGGTGGCTACTTTTTCAAAAATGAGTTGCCCATGTACATGTGGCTCTGTTTCTGGGCTCCCAGTTCTGTTCCGTTGGTCTGTGGATCTGCTTTTCTGCCAGTTCTATGCTGTTTTGATTACTGTAGCTTTATAGAATGGTTTGAAGTCAGGTAGTGTGATACCTCTGGCTTTATTCTTTTTTCTCAGGATTGCTTTGGCTATTCAGGGCCTCTTGTGGATTTGAAGAATTTTTGTTCTATTTCTTTGAAAAGTGCCATTGGGGTTTTTTGCTAGGGATTGCATTAAGCCTATGGATTTCTTTAGGTAACATGGCCACTTTAATCCTGTTAATTCTTCCAACCCATGAACACTGACCGTCTTCCTCCACGACGGCATTTCCAGTCCCTGCCGGCAATGGTTGTCGGCACCACTGTGCTGTCTAAGGCTCCCCAGTCCCCTCTACCGGGGTCCGCCGCAACCAGACTCGGGCAGGGTGATGCGTGTTCCTGGGGGACACTGCCTTCACCCCTCTCACACTCTGGGCCGACTCCCCTCGCTGCCACACTCTGGAGCCACGGTGGGCGCCACACTGCCGCTGTGGCCACCGCCCCTGACCTTCCCTGGTGCTGCCCGCCCTGTCCATTCCGATGTGCCCACCATCAGAGGTTCTGATGTATGAAGCTTTCAAGCATGTTTGTGTGTCAAGCAGGGGATCCTTTGTTGAGTGACAGTTGTCCAACTTGTTTTTAATTTAAGGGAGAAAACAAAGAAGTCTTCTTGCTCTGCCATGATACTGACGTCCCCAGCAAGGATTTTTTTGTATTATATTTTATTGATTATATTATTGCAGTTGTCCAATTTTTCCCTCTTTGTGCCCCTTCCACCCAGTACTCCCCACTCCCTCAGGCAATCCCCACACCATTGCTCATGTCCATGGGTCATGCGTATAAGTTCTTTGGCTGCTCTATTTCCCATACTGTACTTCACATCCCCATGGCTGTTCTGTAATTGCCTATTTGTACTTCTTCATCCCCTCACCCCTTCACCCATTCTCCCCCACAGCCCCTCCCATCTGGCACCCACCAAAATGCTCTCCGTGCCCATCATTCTGTCTCTGTTCTTCTTGTTTGCGTAGTTTGTTTTTTAGATTCAACTGTTGATAGATATGTATTTATGACCATTTTATTATTCATAGTTTTTATCTTTTTCTTAACTAAACCCCTTTAACATCTCATATAATACTGGTTTGGTGATGATGAACTCCTTTAGCTTTCTCTTGTCTGGGGAGCTCTGTATCTACCCGTCGATTCTGAATGGCAGCTCTGCCCAGCAAGGGTCTTTAAGGTGATGGTGCTCGGCTGTGTCAAGGGCATCGCAGGTCAATTGGATGGCCTTTGTGGAGGACCGGTTGGGGAAAGGAAGGAAGGAATTGACAGGTGCATGGCCTTGGGTGGGTAATTTCACTTCCAGGAACTCAGTAACGTGCTCCACGGGTGTCTCCTGACCTGCCCGGCACTGGGACAAGTGCCAGGAAGCTGGTGGTGGGTGAGCCATGTGTGGTCCTCCCCCCAGGGCACCCTCAGCAGGGGCTTAGCAATTGGTGCTCAACCCTCTATGCGAGGACAGGCTGAGCAGCTCTGCAACGGAGAGGTCTGAGCCTCCTGTCCTGGCTTCTGAACGCCAGCCCTGCGCCCAGCGGCTGCGTGGCCCCGAGCAGCTGCCCCTGTCCCCCGAGCCTCACAGGGAGACTTCACAGTCCAAGGAGCTGGTGCCAGCGGGGGGCCGACCCACAGGCCAGGCCTCCCTCCCCGCCGGGAAGCACCGTCACTGCCCAGAGGCCTCTCTCCGTGCTCAGCGCTCCAGTGAGGCAGCGGCCATGGTTGCACGACTCCGGGAATGTACTAGAAACCGCTGTACTTTATGCTTTAGAAAGATGAGGTTTATAGATCTTAATAAATCTACTCTAAAAAAAACTAAAGATAAGTTCTAACAAGGGACAAATGCCGCTCAGATGGTTTTCTGGTGAGAAATGCGAGCTCTGTGGACATGGGCTTGCAGAGTCGAGGAAAGCCCTCTCCGCTGAAGGGCCCCCGGGGCTGCAAGGTACGAACATTCCAGGAAGGGGTGTGCGAACACTCCCTGTGAGTGTGCTGGGGACTCTGAGGATCAGGGTGAGCAGGGGGCCCACAAATCTCCCTCCGAGGACAGAAAGCTCTTCCGAGCCCTGCTGCTCCCTCTGTACCCACAGCCTCCCCACCCTCTGCCTGCCTGTCCACTGGTTACAATTCCAGGTACCTGAAGCCCGACGTGGACAAGAAATCCAAGCATAAGACAGCAGTGAAGAAGAAGACCCTGAACCCAGAGTTCAACGAGGTACACGGGACTGGTGAAGCCACAGGATGTCGTCTTCCCCCCTCCTGGGGCAAGGGGACTGCGAGGGACTGGGTTCTCAAGGGTCACAGCTTAAAGGACGGGAAGGGGCTGTCAGGAGAGCCCCCGCTACGGGCGGCAGGGGAGAGGCCCTGGCCAGGCTGAACCAGGCCAGGGTGCTGCAAACAGAGGGGAGGGGCAGCCTAGAAAGGTCTTCAGAGGATGGAACTGAGGGGATTGTGGCCAGTTGGATGCGGAGTTGAAAGGGGGGAACCCCGCAGCAGGAGTGGGAGGTGCGAGGGAGTGGGGGACACTCCGGGCGGATGTGATTGGGGCGAGCAGCCAGCGCAGGGGCAGACAGAGGACACGCGTCCAGAGAGTGAGAGGGGTACCCCCTTCAGAGCACCATGGAAACCAGTGGGAGGCAGGACTCCACAAAGAAGGGGGTGGTCAGCAGAACTAGACCCAAGAGAAGTCAAGCGCAGCAAGGCTGGGAAACGTGAGTTGCTTTGGCAATAAGGAGGCTCTGGGGAATCTGGAGAGAGGTTTCCGTGACAAAAGCGGGGGTGGTTGGGATGAGGGGAACCTCCAGACCCTGGCCAGGCTCTCGGGCACATGTGAGCGAGCTGCCTGAGAACCCACCATCACCACCATCAGGCACTGGCCGCCCACCCGCCCCTCGGTCCATGCCCCCGCCGTACCCCCCCCCCAGCCCTCCTGGCCACGTGACATCAGCTGTGACTCTCCCCTTCTGGCCACCAGGAGTTCTGCTACGAGATTAAGCATGGGGACCTGGCCAAGAAGACCCTGGAGGTCACGGTTTGGGATTATGACATTGGAAAATCCAACGATTTCATTGGTAAGAGGACACAACGAGATTGCCATTCAGCCAGATGCCTGTCCTGGCTTCAGTGAAGGGCAGTGGCCCTGAATCAGACTGTAGCCCTTCTATCCTGGCCCCTGGGGGAATCTGGGGCCACAGACCACCTGCCCCCACACATGAAGGGCTTCAGACCTGATCAGTGTGACTCCATGGCACCGAGGGAGAGGCAAGCCCAGAGATGGAAAGAGGCCTGCAGGGTCACACAGGGGCCTGCAGTGGAGTAGGGGAGAGAGGTGGTGCTGGTCAGCACCTCGGGCTGGACTCGGAGCCCTCGTGGCCCCAAATCCACGGTGGTGTGTGCGCAGGAGGGGTCCCCCGGCCCGTTCTCGCTCTTTTGTTGTCCCCCTCCCTCGGCCCCTAACAAGTACCCCTGCGCTCTGCCCCGGCACTGCTCTCGCCCTGGGTAGTAGAAGGGCGGGATCCCCGGACCCTGATCTGGGGCAGGGGGACCACTGTCCACCCTTAGAGCTCCGTGGGCGAGGTGGAGAGCCCGGCCTTGGAGCATGGAACCTGGGAGGGGGTGGGGGGAGCACTGGCTCCGGAGGGATGGGCTGTGGGAGTGCCTGCCCCCAGGCCCCTGGCTGCCCCCTCCACTCCCCTCCCGCAGGCGGTGTTGTTCTGGGCATCAACGCCAAGGGTGAGCGCCTGAAGCACTGGTTTGACTGCCTGAAGAACAAAGACAAGCGGATCGAACGCTGGCACACGCTCACCAACGAACTCCCTGGGGCCGTGCTCAGCGACTGACCGCCCCCACCTGCCACCGCACCCGTCCTTGCCTGTCACTTGGCCCAACGCAGGCCTGGTCCTGGGCTTCCTCAGCTGCTACCAAGGGCCTCGGCCCCCTCGTTGGGGGAGATCCAGGACACCTGTTCGGACACAACCGCTGCAGCCCCCGCTCGGAGGCCACGGAGGGCCCAGCCACTCCGAGGAACACCGAGGGCAGAGGGCCAGGCCTGCTTTCAGTCCCTGCGGCCTGATAGGGCCAGAGGTGAGAGGAGAGGAGCTTGGCCTCAGCACCCACCCCAGCGACCGGGAAGGGTCTGTCCAGGAGACGAGGACCCTACTAGAGGTCAGCAGTAAGTCACATGGGACCCAGGCTGAGAGACCAGGAGTGCAGGGGCGCCTGGATGGGGCCGGCGAGAACTCCTGAGGGGAACATTAGGAAGAGGGGCTTGGGAGGAGGAGACTGGGGACAGGACTCTGACTTCATCTGTTCGTCTCTGGCATTACGGGGCGGGCGGGTGGGAAAAGGCTGACCTGAGAGCCAGGAATCTAGTGAAGTTCCCAGAAGCTCCCAGTGAACTCGGGCACTTGGCAAATGCTTCACTCAAGGATTTCGCAAGCCCCTGGGGACGAATGAAACCCAGAGCCCGCCCTCAGGGAGTTCCCGGTCTAGTCAGGGAGCAGGAAACAAATCATCACAGTGGAGAGTGAGGACTGCCAAGGTCAGCCTGGCCCACCTGCTACTGCTCTGGATTCTGCTGGGAGGGCAGGGAGGGCTCCGTGGAGGAGGTCACGCTGCAGCGAGGCCTGGACGGGTGGTGGCGTGTTCAGGCAGACAAAGGCGAAGGGCCGCGAGGGCAGTGGGAATGGTCAGCAAAGGCCTGCAGAGGAGAGAACAGCGATTGGGCCAGGGACTCCGGGAATCTCTGGGGCGCAGGGTTTGTTAGGACAGGAGTGGGGCCCCAGAGGGGTGGTACCCAGCCCTGCTCCCCCCTGCCCCATCCCCGGCTGCCAGGCCAGGGGGCTCACAGTCGTGGGGGCAGCGACGGAAGCCCTGTGGGGAATCGTGTTGGTGCAGCCACAGTTCAGTCCTCAGACCCAGTTTGCCCACCTCTGATCACTCTGTGCTCCCAAGGAGTCTGGAGGATGGATCCCGCCCCTTGTTCTTCCCAGAGGAAGCATCAGGTCAGCTGCAGTCAAGACAGAAAAGGGCCCCTTGTTTTGCATGAAAAGCAAAGATTCCTCCTTGTCCTCACCCTCCTCTCCCCTTGTTCTGCCTCCCCTGACCTTCAGGGTTTGGGATTGCGTAGTGGGGGGGCCTCAGGTGGTTGCCCATGCATCCTGGCCCTACTGTGGCCACTGATGTCCCTCTCAGGAATACTTGGCAACAGCCCAGGGCCATGATTCTGGGAAAGCTGAGAGAGAGACACCCTGCCTGGTAGGCCTGTTTGTATGCTGAGTCAGTCTCCAAAGTGGAGTTGAAGGCTTGGGGCCTGGGTCTGATGCCCCAGATTTTCCTGCCTAACAAGGGGCCTTCAGGAACCCTGGGCGAGCAAATGCATAACCAAAGGGCTTCTGTGTTCAACCTGTCACTGCACTGATGGGAAACAGAGCCCAGAGAGGGAAAGTAACCTGCCCAAGGCCTTGCAGCCTTACCACAGCTGGGGCTGGCCAGGCTCCACGGCCCCTGCCCACTCCCAGCCCAGGCTCTGGACGCCACACTTAGGGGAAGTAGGGTGCTGGGCTCACACACGAGAGGTCCTGCTGGCTGCCTGCCTGGCGCCGTTCCCTGCCTGCTGCCCACACACACCAACACCAGCAGCAGGGCTCACAGGGGCACAGGGCTGGACCCGCTGCTGCACACACAAAGCACACCACCATCCGAGGCCTGGGGTGATGATGTGACTCCCACAAAGTGCCCATCAGCCCTTTCCCAGTTTGCAGGGAACTCGGGACTTCAGTCCCAACACAGTACCTGGCAAACTTTGCTGGTCATGGAATGTTGGTTTTCCCATCTTTAAGAAGGCTTTGTGTGCGTTGAGAGTTTTACACGCACTGTCTTGAATTTTCACAATCCTTGTGTCTGGGTGAACTCTGGATATCTTCTTTGCTTTTGGAGGGCCTCACTCGGAGAAAAGACTCATGGCCTTTTTGTGAAGACATGGAAATGCTGAATGGCAGCTACAAGGGGCTGTGAGATACAGAGGGAAGCAGGCCCAGCTGGGACAAGAAGCCCGGACTCCTAGCACCTGGCCCAGCGCCCACTGCTGCCCCAGGCTGTTCAAGTGCAGACTGGGCCCTGAGAGATGGTCCCAGCTGAGCACAGGCTGGGAGGCAGGGTTTCTGCACAGCCAGCCCAAGTGGAGGATGGGGCGCTTGGACAGAAGGGCCCCCAGAGAGGGACAGAACTGGGGCGCTGTTCTAGACCACTTGCAGAATATATCTGTTAAAGAAAAGGCTCTTTGAGAAGCTGCAAAGCTCTGCCTTTAACCCCAAACTGGCATCTTTCCACTGATCCATTAGACCCACAAAGATGGGAAATTTGACACCAAAAAAAAAAACACACAAAAAAATGTCATTCCAAAGTCAGGAGTCAGTAACCTGGGGTCTCCCGATGCACGCCACCCTACTCCACCGCCTGCCTTCCTGGTCTCCACCCCACCCACCGCCACCACTAGCCAATCCCTGACGGGCCCGTCTTCCAACACTGAAGCGGTAACCTCCTGACCTCTAGTGGCAAGAGCGAGGAACTGCACCTCCTGGCCCGTGCATGTCCAGCCTTTGTTCCTTCCCAACCGACAGAACCTCCCGATGCATGGACTCTGGCTGTCGTCGACACAGACTCTCGTGCACTGCTTAACACCGTTTTGCTACCATGTGATGGCTGCAGAAACCGTCCTTAAACTGCAGCCCCACACACAATTTTTGTACTTTCATCTGGCCTACCCGAAGGTGTCCTTTTTAAGTCTTATTTGTTAATATTTATATTGACATATAATCCAAAGTAAATGGAAACGTTCATTGTGATCCTATCGGCTTGAGAGACTCATTTGCTAGATTTGAATATGAGCAGGAAAGGATGAGAGAATGGCACTGGGCTTAATCAGCACATTTTCTCATTTACTCCTCAGCAAGAATCCTTTTGAGGTAGGTTCCCATGCTACAGATGAGAAAAGTGAGGGGTTGAACCTCTGGTAGACGACAGAGCCAGAAGGCAGCCCGTGTCTTCAGAGACTTTTTACGCCAGAAACAGGATGCCATGCTGTCGACCACCCATTCAACAAACAGCTGTGGCAAATTAATGCCAGGCACTAGTCTTGGCTCCTAGGGCCGATTTATCGGCAAGACAGTCAGTACACAGCATGTGTATATTAAAAGACTAAAAGAAAAAAAAATGGGCATAAAGGGACCATGTGGGCCAGGCTGGCTGGGTTTAAGAAGGGAGATCAGGAGAACCTGTGGACAAGATGACTTCTAAGCTAAGAGTTGGAGAGGGTGAGGTAGGGAGCTTTGGGAATAGCTGGGGAAGAGTGACCCAAGTGAAGGGAACCTCTAGGTTCCCAGTGCCCCTCTAGGTGGGGGTAGGCCCAACTGGAGTGGCTTGAGGGATAGCAAGGAGGCCCATGTGGCTGGAGCGAGGTGGGGCAAGGGAGGAACGATAGAGGAGGGCATGGGGTGCAGGAGGCCAGACAGAGGAGGGCTTTGTAAAGATGCTTTCACTCTGGAGGAGGTGGGAGCTTTGTTTCTAACAGGCCACCCGGTAGAGAACAAACCTGTGGTCTGGGGCAGGAGAGCAGTTCCTGTTTGGAGGTCCCTCTCATGGTGGCATGCCCATGAGCCCAGGGTTCAATGTCTAAATGGTATCCAGTCCAGGGCAAAGTCAGCTGGGTCACAATCAGAGCCTGCTGAGACATGACTTTGGTCACCAGCCTCCCTTGGCAACCACCTCTGTGCTGGCCTAATTTTCCAGGCATCCTGCCCATTCTCTGGACTACCTGATACCCTTCCAGGGCATTCCTTTTCTGTTCACATTAACAAGAGTCAGATCTTGTAATTTTGGACAAAGAACACTGCCTGGTCCTCTAAAGCAGTAAGATCATCTAGGTCTCAAGTGTTACCTCTTTGTGAGGCCTGCCTGATTACCTCAGTCACTTTCTCCCCCATGACCCTGCTTTATTTTTGCCATGGCGCTTACCAACCAAATCACCTTGTGCATTTGCTCGTCTCTTTCTCCCCTCACTAGCCTTCTTGACAGTTGAGATCACATTTTTCTTCTTTTTTTTTAAAGATTTTATTTATTTATTTATTTATTTTTAGAGAGGAAAGGGAGGGAGAGAGAGAGAGAGAGAGAGAGAAACATCAATGTGTGGTTGCTGGGGGTTCTGGTCTGCAACCCAGGAATGTACCCTGGCCGGGAATCGAACCTGGGACACTTTGGTTCCCAGCCCGCGCTCAATCCGCTGAGCTACGCCAGCCAGGGGCACATTTTTCTTCTTTACCTCAGTAACTCCAGCCCAGGACTGAGCACCGAACAGCCCTCTAGTATTTGTTGAATGAATGGATGAAAGTTGTCACCATGGACACTGAAATGAGCCAAATCCATGTGTCTGGAGTATGTGATTATATGTTGGGTCTAAGCCCAGATACGTGCACGAGACTTCTGTTAGCGCCAAAGAATCCTGGGGTACAGAAGAGCAAGGACCCCACATACCCCAGTTATCCCAAGTAGAGAAAGGGAGAGAATGAGAGCGGGAGGGGGGAAAGCGGAGAAAGGAAGACTGGGAGGAGAAAGGAGAGAGGAAGACCGCAGGGGACTGAGGAAGAAAGGAAGTAAAGGGATGGCAAGAATGGGCCTGGGAAAAGCTACAGAAGCAGGCAGGGGCCAGCTCTCCACTGCACGCTCAGGGGTCCAGGGGAAGTAACAGCCCAGGATGGCCGAAGGCATGGCTTTCTGTAGTGTCCAGTCCCAGGGAGAGTGCTCCTGGGATGGGCTGAAAAGAGGTCTAAAAACGAATCACACCAGGAGAGGCACGTCCCCACTCCTGGGGCCAGCAGGAAAGGGGACGGGGAAGCCAACTCATTGTCCAGTGGCCAGTGTTATAATGAATACTGATCATGAAGATTCCTGCGTGCACAAAGCAGCACTGTGCTTGACGCTAGGAGACTCTTAGCCCAAGAAAACTGTGCAGAGCCAGTCTAAAGATGGATACAAAACGACATGGCGCACTAAGGGCAAGACTGACAGAAGGCTCGGAGTTCAGGCCTGGGCTAGGTGAGGCAGGGACAGGGGAGGAGCAGGATGTGGGCACAAGTGGTTTCCAGGAGTGACACTGCCCTCTGTGGACGAGAGAGACCTGGCCAGCGCAAAGCCCGTTCATGAGGACAACCTGGAGCAGTCCCCAACTCCCCAGAGTGCTCCAGCATGAGCAGAGGCTATGCAGGCAGCCTCCTCCAGAGTCTCTGCTCTCCCCCTAAACGTTCCCCACAGTGAAGGCAGCATCCCCACACATCTCCCCCTGAGCGGAAGAACAAGGACCGGCTGGGGACAGGCAATTCGTTCCTGTGCTATTTCAGCAGGGAATCCTTAAAGACTCTTGAGAAAATAACAGGGACCTGAGAGAAGGGGCCCAAATTAGTGTTAGAGGCAATAACACACAGAGCTCTGGGACGTGTACGCACTTAATCCTCATCATTATAAGATACTGTTTTAATCCCCACTTTGTAGATGAGAAAACTGAGGGACAGAGTAGCATGTTCAAGGATAATCAAGAGGTTGAGCTGGGATTTGAACCCAAGCCTGTGGCTTTAGAAACCACTCTTCAATGTCTACGATATGCTGCTGGGTGATGCAGATGGCGGTACCAGGCCTAACAGAAGCTTCTCAGGTCCCATTTGCCCTCAAGCTCCCAGGACCAGCAGGGTCCTGCTCTGCCAGGCACGTTTCCCAAGGCTCACCCTCAGTCCTCGCTGTCAGTCCTGACCCTCTGCAGCCCTCCTCTGCCCAGTGGGCTCTCAACTTGTCACAAGCCCCAGTTCCCCTCTGCGTCCCATGGATCTGGAGATGTGAAACTGGAGCACTTATGTGGCTCCCCAGGGGCCAGGTGTGAGCCGGGGTGAATGTATCACATTTTAGGAATCAGAAAACCGAGAATCCGAGAGCTCTCAGAGTCCCGGGTTTTCCTCTCCACTGCTCTGCACCTTCATCCTTTCACCTCTCCTCACACTTTCCCAGCCGATTCCTCAGCCCCGAGTGTGGGTGGCTTTCTGCTTGGCTCACCCCACCTACCTAGGAATGTTTTCTCTTAGTTTCTCCAGAGAGCAATGGCTGGATCCAGGCTACAACTCACCTCCTTGGGTCAAAGGGTCAGGGGATGAGGTCACAAGGTAAAACCATGGCTGTGGGCAGGACACATAGGGTCAAGTATGCCCTTCACAAGGTCCCTGAGCCAGTGGGAAAGGAAGGAGAGGTACCGGCCAAGGGAAAGAGGGGACAGAAGCTGAAGACCAGCGCCACAAGCATATTACGGCAGAAACCATTAAAAAAGCAAAGGCCAGTGAGCAGCCAAGAGCAAAACACTAAAAAGACAACAAAACCCCCCTAAACGATCAAGAGTGAATTAACTCCACTGTGATCCACATGGAGGTTAGAAAGTCACATGGACATGTCCATTTTAATTATGAATGTGGCAAAGTGTCTTGGCAAGGTGTGAGAAGTGAAGGGACAAAGGGATGAGCATAGGTTGCAATCCTTTTTATTCTCAATATTATATATATCGGTAAAATATACATAAAATTTATCACTTAAACCACTTTTAAAAAGATTTTTAGAGGGGAAGGGACAGAGAAAGAGGGAAACATCGACGTGTGAGACGTTACCTCTCACACCCGACAGGGAACCAAACCTGTGACCTTTAGGTTCACGGGCCGGCACTCAATCCACTGAGCCACACCAGCCAGGGAGTCATTTTAACCATTTTTAGGTTTACAATTCAATGGCACTAAGTACCTTCATAAGGTAGTGCTATCCTCACCAGTATTCCTACAACTTTTATCAACCCAAATTACCAATTAACTTCCTGCTCCCCCTCACCCCAGCCCCTGGTATAGTTTTTTTTTAAGTACTTTAAAAAAGCTTTCTGAGAGGAACACCAATGTGGGGTTACTTCTTCTGCACCCACTACTGGGGACCTGGACAGCAATCCAGGCATGTGCCCTGACTGGGAATCCAACTGGCAAATCTTTGGTTTGCAGGCCAGCACTCAAATGCACTAAGCCACACCAGCCAGGGCCATTTTCTCTTTGAACTTGCCTGTTCTGGTAACCTCATATAACTGGAATTATGTCTTTGTCCTTTTATGCCTGGCTCATCTCACTTAAAACAGTATTTTCAGGTTTCCTTCCTGTTAGTTTCTTTTTATGGCTGAGTAATATCCCACTGTACAGGAAAGGTCTTTTGTTTATTCATCTGCAGATGAACACGTGTTGTTTCCATTTTTTTAGCTATTTGTGAATAATACTGCTAGGAATATTTTTAAATGTTGCCTTTGTTTCAAAACATATGGCATATCATAATCTGCAGAACAATTCCACGTATTCCTCAGAGGATTTGTTTCCAGTCAGCCATCAATAAACAAAAGTTCCTAACTGGGAACAGTCTTACTGAGCTTTCAACCTCCTTGGAAGATCTGTCTGCACAAATGCTCATCTTCTGCTTTCTTCTGGATTAAGTAGAATTCCATTTGTTTATGTCCAGATTTTTAGCTATATCTCTTTGCGTTGTTTTTATATTATGCTTGCCCGAGGTATTCCCATATATCCTTCATCTCTCAGAGTCTTCTTAGAGTTACTATCATGTTACTTCAAGCAGTATTTTAAAAGTTGAAAGCAAATGGATTCATTTACCACCCCCTGGCTGCCTTTCATGCTATAGTTATTGTATGTATGATGTGCCTACATATATTAATCCCAAAATACAGGTCTATTCTTTGCTTTAAACACATAAAATATTTTCTTAAAAATTTTATTTA